TATATATAGTTTTGAGTAGATATCTTTTAATATTTTCTATGGGAGAATACCCCCAAACCCCACTAGAACTGCTTCACTCCACAGCTGCTGATTAACATGAACAGGTGTTCCTCGGTAGACTCCTGGTATCGTGTTTCAAATGAAGAATATTAACCACTTTAATTGGACAACAAAAATAATGTCAAAAGACTAAAAAACTATTTAATTTGGGATGTGAATTTGTACAAATTGGCAATGAGATTTAGAAAATTGCACAAGGGGCACCCTCTGGAGTCGTGCCTTCAGGCTGCCAAAATGGCTGGGGCTGGCCCTTTTATTCACATCATAGCTAAACATCCTTACCTCCAGGTTACACCACTTAAAAAAACAGTTTCCCAGTCTGAAACATGGCGCTGAATGGTACGTTGTGTTGTAGATTCTAATACTTGTATCTAAGTGACAGCAATGATTGGTTCTGTACTGATTGTCCATCTTGTGCAACTGAAACCTGAGTTTCCTCATGTAGCCAATTTTCTGTCCACCCCATGTTGTTAAATTTACTGCTCATTTCTTATTGATACAACATAAATTATTCTAGAGCAGGAGTTTTAGTGAATTGAAAGTAAAACGGATCACGTTTATCTTAATGAACAGGTCTTCCTCATTGAGTGTAATAATAGCTCATTTTTGACTTTGTCTCAAGTAAGGAGCCAAAGCAGAAATCTTCTGTTGCAGTGCGTGTCTGTATCCATGTGAAGCAGCTTAGGAAAGTTAAATTTATCCCAAGGACAGATGGGGCACACACACACCACTTTTTTTTTTTTTTTTGACAACCAGAGTACCAAGTTATGACAGTGGTATTTCAAAACAATGTTTGACTTTTATTGTATACTTCCAGAAGCTCTGATTGTAACTTCTCATTCCCGGCGTGTGCTCCCTGCTCATTCACCTTCTCCGTTGCAGTCACTATCGAATCAAACTCCTCTGTGTCTTTATAAGAAATGGAAAAACAAATGTTAAAACACCACTTGGCTAGAAGCCCAAAAACACAATGTGCTGGATTTTCAACACAAACGAGCATATTGGTCTGTGCTGTGGTTAATCAAACAGTGCATTTCAACAAGACTACAAATAAATGCCAAGCTTACCAGGGATGAGAGCTGAGCTATAGTTGCCCATCATAACAGAGGAACATTGCAGACAGTGAAAGACAGAAAACAAAGCTGCCAAATCTTTACGATTACATCTACAAATGATAGATAGGAGCAAGTAAACAGAGAGCAGGAATCAACAGAAACTTGCCAGGTTGTGTAGACGCTCAACATGCTTTGTCTCTGGGTGAAACAGAAACGAACACATGAGCTCTTCAGTCTGCATGATTAACACCCCATCAGAGCAGAAGCAAATCTTACAGCAGAGGCAGCTGTTTCTCTCAGGCAACAAATGTGTTAACACACACACTGATCCCAGCACAGACCAAAGGGGGGCAGTCACAGAAAAAAGTAAAAGCAGCAAACTGTTTACCAGATTGTGTTACATCAAATAATCCTTATTCCTCCAGCGCCACTCCTAAAATCCAGCAACATTTGAGGTCATTCAATACCATCCTTTGTGCTCTGGTGTGGCGTGCATGTTTTAATGAAGAGTGCCACTGTCAGGGCTAAGTTTAGAGTGGGACAGAAAGACCCCCCCCCACCACCACCACCACCACAAATATCAGGGGGGGCAAAGCAAAAAAAAAAAAATAAGTGTTGTGATTTCCAAAACAGGAAGCAAATTCATTAAATCTGATGTCCCTCCAACATCTTTTTCCTGCTTCTTCCTTTCAGGGCCACAGAGAGGGATGGGGTACACCCAGTGCTGCCGACATCTGATTTTGTTTTACATTTTTGTCGTTTTTTTGGTTTGTATTTTTGCTTTTGTCTTAAAAACTACGTCCTTACTATCCTAACAGCATAATTAGGTTACCACCAAACAGGTTTAGTTTCATCAGACCAAAAGACTTGCAGGCATTTGAAAACTTATCAGACTTTTATGTTGCGTTCAGAGTAAAGGCTTCTTCTTGTCGAGTGGCCTTTAAGTTCCTGTTAGACGCGTTTCATAGTTGATGACTCTTCTCAGCATCTTCTACGTTTAAAAGTTGATCGGCGCACTTTGCACCAAAATGCATTRATCTCGGGAACACAAAACCCATTTACTACCTATGCGTTATGACAGGACATTTTCATGGAGTTCACACTTGTGTATAAATGAACAGATGAACATTCAGACATCTGGAAATTGTACCGAAGGATAAACTAGAGTTATAGATATTTGAGGCCAGGGATAATTTATTTTATTTTACTTTGTTCAACTAGAGAGCATCATCAGACAGAGTTGAGTCACATCCGATGCCTTCAAATCACKTTTTTAAACAATAAATTTGACTTTAATTTACATTTTTCACTCTTCTTTGCTCACATTTCATGCCTGAAAAATACTAAAAAACTAATTTCATTATGTAAAAATCAAAGCAGTTAAATTTCAACTTAATTTTGTCATACTACAGAAATCACTACTAGATTCACCATAAAATTAAAAAATTCTCACACTGTTCTCATAAATACTGTCAGTTTATTGTGACTATGTTCAAGTACTTCAGTAAAAACACAAATCTTGACTCCCAAGTTTTATTTTTGTTTTATCCAAGTCGAACTCAGCATGTGATCACAATACAAGTTTTAAATGCCACAATACATTATGTAATATATTGCTGCTTATTAACAAAACAAATAATGAGCACTAAGTAAAATTAGGATTTCCAAGATCTTCTAAAGCAACAGCTTTTAAATCAAAAACATCAGGAAAAAAAAACACATGGTATATCTTACAAAATATTCTCAAACTAAGTACAGTAGTACTCTACCAAAGACCACATGTTAGCAATAACTCACAATACACAGGCAGGTTGGGTCTGAAGCGAGACTTTCCAACAGGTGTCAAAGATCTGGATGAAAAAGGTTCACGATCTCCCAGCTCCATTTTTTAGAATTTGGGACCTGCGTGCGAAATTAGGCAATAATTATAATTTTCTGTCTTAAATACATAAAAACATTGCACAACACCAATCTGCTTACCGCATGTTGTCACTAACGTTGATGGCTGGGTCCTCGGTTGTAAGGAGCTCGCTGACGCATCACTCTCATGTTGCGGTATTTGGACACGATGCTGTAGCTTTTTCTGAACACTGATCTCTGATTTGGGAAAGGACGTGGGATTAAAGTCTCCTGATAAACATCAGAAAAGATTAACAACGAAATTAGAGGTAACTTCATTTTTAACAATTCCCAGAAGCAGCAAGATATCTTTTAAAAACAGATAAAAATAGAAATACCATGAGTGGTCTTCTAACAGCTCCTGACAGGTCTGGGCCCGGGTTTCTCAGACCACTAGGTATCCTCTGACCCTGTAAAAACAAGTGAAAGACAACATTCAAAACTGAAACAGGGCTTAGTTTGGTTTTAATACTCTTTTTTTTTTTTTACACTTGTGCGTATTTGGAGTCATCCATCATTATGAATTAGGACAATCAGGATACAATGAATTGTACTTACTTGTATGGGTCCTGGTCTCCTAAAAGGCCTTGAGGGTCTGCTGTCATGCATCACATTGGGGGTTCTAGAAATTTTTTTTCATAAACAGATAAAATATGCCATCAGCCTTTTATTTTATGAGTGACGTTTCAATTTTGATAGAGGCTGAGCACGACAAGAATACTCTGTCAGTGAGGTCATTACTATATTTATGGTACCTAAACACCCTCTTCTCCAAGTATTTTCTGTCTTCAGGCGATCTGGAGTCGTTTGAAGATCGCCTATGTGACGTGTTCTCTCCATCTGAACTGCGGTCTAAAGCAAAGTTAGAAGTGGAAAAATTTGTYTTTTCAGCTGAAGCCCAGAAAAGCCTCTTGTAAAACTTATTTTAAAATATTTGGCATGATTAGGAAACACTATGTCGCAGAAAGAGTCAACCTACCTGTCTTTGACTTTGGGCTGTGACCTTTTGGAGGGGAAGTGTCTTTAGAGGAGGAACTTGGTCCAGGCGGCCAGTGAGACAAAACGACAAGATCACGTTTCTCTATGGGAGAAGACCTGGGAGAAGATTAGAAGGCAATGTTTGAATTTTGCTTGATAATTCCTGCAACAGTTTTCAGAAATTTGGCATTCAAAGCATATTCAAAAAATTTAAATTACCCCATCAGCTGTTAAAGGTAAAACATTAACCAGTAATATGTATGTATATATAGTGTTTTGCAGGCAGACAATTTATAAAGCCACACATCATTTAGGTACTTACAAAAACCATGGCATGTCCATGCTTCTTTACTCCTATTTTTGTACCCTGAATCAATCTGAGCTTTCTCCATTTATTCATCAATTCTTAGAGTGGCCAAATCACATCACATCATGTCTTCTATCAATCCTTGACAAGCACATGGAGGAGGGGCGTGACATTATTTTATCAGATTTATGCATTATGATCAGCCGATCCTAGACGTTCAGTTTTCTTCTGTCCTCTTATTCCAAGGAATCCACGTGATATGGGTCATCTTGAAGGCATGTGCAGTTTTGGGAGCAAATAGAATAAATGCATGCTGCTGGGGTCAGCTTAGAAGATTCTTCACCACAGCTGGTTTTAAGATGCAATCCAAATTCAAGTTTCCAGACCATCTCCTCAAGACTTTTTTTAGGGACCAAAGAGGCGTCCATATTCTACAAATCCCTTCCTCCTCTTGAAATCTGGCCACTTGTGAAAGTCAAAATCTGACAAGTTGTGAAGAGACTTTATGGGGTGATCCATATTCTTCTTCTGTAGGAGCTTTCAGTTAGTTGGATGAAAAACCAAGAACTGCTGTAGATCATCTTTCCATGAAACTTTCAGGACTTCAACCATCTTCTGCCTGAAAATGTAACATTTTGTGGCCCATTTATAAAAGCAATTTAAACTGCAACAGCACGTTTTATTGCTGTAATTATGTATTCAAGTAGATCCATCCACTGTGCAGTTTTTATGGCTGCAGTTGACTCCATTTTGTGTTCATTTGAACCCATCTGAATTCCATCAAGATACTTTGTATAATTATCCAGCTCTGGAATGATGATTATATGATGCAAGCTTGGGAAAAACAAATGCTTCTTGGGATTCTTGTGACTCCAGAGAAGAGGGGAGTTCAGGGAAGAACAAGAAGGTATTAGTCTGGCTCCTCTTCTTTGTGTATTCAGATTGGGACTAACAAGGCACTGAAACTTCGACAGAAAAAATGGTTCTTCTTGGATAAATTCCCTTTGATTTCTACTTTGTTGAATATACATTTCATATTTATATGTAGAAGATTTCAAATTTTGAATACCCAAAAAAGATTAGCTAATTTTTTGTTTGTTTTAAGGGTGGGGATGGAGTGTCTTAGGAAATTTACACATTTAGTACAATCACTCTGGTTCATCAAATAACCAGTAATAATTGTTTAACCACAAAATCACAAATTATAATTGGGTTTTTGGTAAGAAAGCATTTGTTTTTTGTCAGCCAGCTTCAACAGGGGCAAGCAATATTCAACAATTCAAAAATTTTGGGATTTATTTTATGGCTTTTGTTGTCTGAAGCCAAAAACGATCATCATCCAACTTAGCGATGAGATAACTGCATATCAGACTTTGTTGTGGGAAATTTCCTCAATCCACTTGCTTGTAAAATTTGTGTCTTGATCTATCTGTGGCCATCGGAAGTAGCTGATAACAAGGATGCAATGCTGCTGCAGTTTTATCTGAAGGGTTGTTGACCAGTTTCCAGGCAGCTYCTTGGTGGTTTCTGTTTAGATCATGCCAAGTCCTCTTCGTGTCCATCAACTTTATCATTTTTGCCAATGGAAATATATATTTTTTAATTATGCGTTATAAAGATGTATTGTTTACTGAGAATAAAGATGTCTTCACAACATGCTGGGAAGCACCATTTCAAGTTTTAGTCACTCTGACTGTCGACAGAAGAATCCTTCGGGTACAGTTCAACTAAATTTCCAAAAGCCTCATAAGGCTTATTTTACATATTTTCTTCAGGATCAATTGGCCAGCTTAGACAATGTGCTTTGTATTTGGAGTCTAAATCTTTTCTTCATCCCGTTTCAGTGGTAGGTATTTTAAAAACCCATGTAGCACGCAGTTAGGGTGGCGTTTGAGAATGACGTGGCTTTGCATCAAATGAATCACATTTAGCTCATCATGACATCTCCATTTTCCACAGCTGGCACCCCTTTCACACATTCTTTCTTGACCTCTTAATCATCATCATCATCATCAAGCCCCTGCGAATTGTGCTACAAGAAAAATACCGTACCTGTGTTTGCTCAAGGATCGGCGAGACTCCACCTGTTCTTTTCCTGAGCCAGAGTCTCTCGAGGATCTGCTTGCTTTGTCTTCCTCTCTGGAGGGTGACTGTTGTGGTTTGGGCTTTCTTGGCTCAATCCTTTTCAGAGGAACTGCCTTTAACGGGAAACGCCTCTTCCTTATAGCAAAAACAGAGCTGGTATTTCCTCGTGCAGGCATGTCACCTGGACGAGGCCTGGGTCTCACAGTTGGAGGTATTCTTAGCCTCATGAGAGACTCGGCTCCGATTTGCCGACTCCTAACTAGGTAACCTCGACCCCTAAAAGACAAAGGTGGACCACCAAACGGTCTGGGTAGACTCATCAGCTGAGGTCTCTCTCTCCTGGGGTATTTTGGATTGCCATGCTGTGGTTCAGGACCTGACAACCTCCTCTTACGAAATCCTGACGTTTGTCTGTCCTGAAGGCTCCTGTAGTGGGATGATGATGGTGATGGACCTCCTTTCCACGAGGGAGATCTGTAAGGGGGTAGATGAGGGATATCTTGTGCCCTCTCTCGACTGTGGGATCTGTTGCCCTGCCTCTCCACAGGACCACGTTGCCGCCTGGAGTCTTGTTCAGATGACCACCTGCATTTCCACCAAACAATAGAAAAATCATTACAACGACAGATCCATTGCCATTTTAAGTGGGACAGGGAAGTTTTAACTTTTATCTCAAATGCAGCCCTTTCACAAGCCAAGACAGAATGAAATAAATAGGGGTAAACTTTCAACAGGGGAATTATAGATGTAACACTCTTTTTACTGCCATACTTAAAATTAGACCTATTTTAACTGCTTAGAATAAAACATGGGCTGGAGCAGAGCTGAGTATTATATTATCTATGAGTGGGAGAAGTGGCCAGCTTCTGGCCTCCTCTGTAATGATTTTTACCCAGCTCGGGGTATTGCTTCACTCCTGTACCTCTCTGTACATGAGCCTCTCCCAGGCATCCCCCTGGGGATCCTCTGAAATCCAGGGGGCCGGTGCTCCCCATTGTGAGAAAATGAAAACGATCCAGGCTCGTTCCAGCGCTTCATGCCACGACCTGAATGCACATATGGCCTTCCTCTTGGGTGAGGGTCTCGACTCCGCTCATAGGGAAAACCAGGTTGCCTTCTGGGGTCCCTGAAAGATCCCTGGTAGGGTGGTGCGGATCCTGGCCTCCTGTCAGCTGGATGGCCACGAAAATGTCTTGGAGGAGATAATCTGTGGCCCGAGGGATGACCATGGAAAGGTGGGCCCCTTTGGCTCTGGTGTCCTTGTGAAAAGCTGTGAGGGGATGAACGACGCTGGACTTGAGAGGGGCGGTTCGGCCTGGGTGGAGGCGACCTCCGCTGACTAGAATGTGCCCCCATTTTGGGAGAGTGGGATGAGGAGGATCCTTGACTCTGAGGCCTCCAGCGGTTAAAACGCGGCTCTCTTTGATCTCCCATTTCAGGAGCTCTTCTGCCAACTGGTGGCCGTCCTCGTCCTTTGGAATCCCTCCAATCAGGAGGGGGCTTCCCAGAGTAGCCCTGGTCATTTCTTCGACTTCTGGAGCTGGGGCTGGGGCTGTAACTTCCTTCCTTATGTCCACGACTATCTCCGTAGGGTCTGGCAGAGCACAAAATAAATAAAATAAAATACAATAAATAAATAAAACAAATGAAATATGATGTAGTCATTAATTTTCAAATCTAAGACTAAAGAACGTAGATGAAAAACATTACCTTGGCTTTAAGCGTGGGGGTCCAAATTGTGATCGAACCATCTCTGGAACTAGATGTGTAATCTTTAAACAAATAAATAAAAATATTACATTTTATTGTTTTTAGAGAGTTAAACACAAAAAATTACCTATCTTGAATTTGCAGCATGCAGGTCTAAACTCATGGAGTTCAAACACTTTTGTTGTGATTGCATGAATCTTGTAATCATTGTAATATCTGTCTAATAATTATTAACCAGTTATTTTATTCTATCAAACGTGTTCTAGCATGGGAGAAGTCAAGCAATCAAATGTTCCAAGGATTTTCGAAACGCTCCTTTGCAGTGCAACACATTCATTTTAACAAAACAACGCATTATTATGTCCATAGTGCTAATTGTATTCATCTGTAAATCATCAGCCTACTTAACGAAACAATCAATGCTATTTATCTCACGTCTGCTTGATTAACGCAACGCAAAATGTAAGCAATCATCAAGTTAAATGAATGAGAGATGACCATGTGTGTTGACTCTTAATGGTGGCTGCTACTTGAGTTTCTGTTCTGAGCGACTCCAAGAAGCAGCAGAGCCTGTTTTTATTTCCAGCATTACCTCTGAGGAGCCTTTAGACTCACTATTAAAATTAATTATTTCAAGAAATAAATCCCTACATTCTGTTGGTAAATGCGTTTAGTTAATGTTTCGGTTTGGTTCATATCATTTTCACGCAAACATATTAGCAAGGCCGAGAACCTTGACTCAATGCTAATTTTAGCTTTGTGAGGCTAGCGAGTGCATTTCTCACTGGTTTCACATTCGACAAAATGGAGTTCACGAAATTCCTGAGTCCTTACAATATTTCGGCAAACCCTTACGCTAAACAAACATTTACTTTAATGTAGGTACTCACAAATATGTGACATTCGATGACACAAAAGCTACTTACCAAGATCCAGCCGATAAATAGATGAAAGCTACGTGCGACACAGTTTGCACACTCTTCCTCTTTGCCTTAAGAGGAAAGTTGATGCGRCCCCTGCCTTCCGGGAGTGGTACTACATGCCAGGCGAGAATTCTTTTTAATGGTTTTTTTTTTATGAATTTAATGCTAAATAAAATACATACAAAACCAAATAAATAAAATAACTCTCTATGTATGAATGCCTTTTTTCTTTGGATTATTCTTTTTGCATCATTAGACTATCACTGTGGCTCGTAAACAAAAATGGACATTAAGTACTAAATTGCATCACACTTTAGGCCACATATATTCAACTTTCCACCTCTCCTTTTATGTCCAGTTTGAGATTTTGTATATTTGCATTTTCCAATTTAGCTAAATGTAGAGGACACCCAAATAAGCAAGTATTATTTACTTAACTGGCCCATTGACCTTGAAAAACAGCCTATAAATGTCACATTTCACCAATTTATTTATTTATTTATTTATTTATTTATTTATTTATTTATTTATTTATTTATTTTGGATTATGATAAATTTTGTTTCAACATCATTTGTGTAACACAGAGGTGCCCAAAATTGGGGCCCGCGGGCCAAAGTTGGCCCACCGAGCCATTTGATTTGGCCCACCAGCCGTTGTCCTGGTCACTAGATTGTGATTAAATATAAAATACAAGTAACTACAAGAGACATTTAGATTAGATTTAAGCCCATATATAGATTTGCACACCTTACAAGACCACATATACTCAAATTTTAAATTAGGAAAAGTCCCATGAGCCTTTGCTGCCTGAGCATACGTTGAATTTTCTCCATGTCTATGGGTTGAAAAAAAAACTAAAGAATGTGGGCAACCACACTGGCTGCTAACTTAAAAAATAAAACAACTTCACTTAAGATTTGCATTTCTTATATTATTGCGTTTGGCCCGCGGCCCTCAGATTGATTATACWGTAATTTTGGCCCTCTCAGGAATAATGTTTTTTTTAATTTGGCCCTATTAGAGAAAATGTTTGGGCACCCCTGGTGTAACACATTCACCCCACCTGTAAAAAATGTAAATAACATATTTTGAGTTAATATTTAATGCTGATGACACTGTATCTAATTCCAAATAAAAACAACTTTGACTCGTTTTTGTGCAATTATGATCAGCTGTTTTGCATTAAGTGTACATAAAACATTATTTCCACATGTAAAGTTGTAAAAGTTATAGCTCCCATTTTTAACTGAGACAATGTTAGACTAAACTGAGAAAAAGACAGATGAAATCACAAAAACACAAACTCATACAAAACAAACAATTCACTGTTAAGATCTTTATTTTGAAATAACTTTGTTAAGACCATGCCAAACATGCACAAAGTCTACTGCGTTTGCATTACATAAAGCCATAAAGCGTTCAGCTGGCTTTGTTGCAGTTTTGACTTTGAAATGTGATCAGAAATACTGTATTTTTAGCCTCATTCATTTCCTAGGATGTCAGATCAATTATTTTTGCAATAAAAAGCACTTTATAGAACAAATATTTGTCAATGCAAACAAAATGTTAATGCTAACTTACAAATATTGCTAGTTTCTGTTTGGCTATAAGGGTAATAAAATATTCCTGGCTTTTAGACAATATATGCTACATGAGTGTCATGTTTAGACAAAGCTGCTGGAATAAGTGCAAGGATAATTCAAAGGGCACACACACAAATTATAAGAAAAAAAAACAGACACAAACCTGAACACTTGCTCAGACTGCAGAATATACTGTATATATGTGTGTGTTTTACAGAGATATATTGGCAATTGTTTCTGACTTGCTAAAAAAGTTTATTGCTTTCCTTAAACTTAATCATGACACATGTATTAATTTGTTATGCATATGAATTTGTTTGTATTATTCCTGTATTGGTTTGCATGAATACAAACCAACTTTACTGCTACAATTCAAAAGGACAAGTTTGTTTTAAGCAAACATTAGCAATTTTTCAGGCAGCTTGGACAATAAATTAACAAAAACTGAATTTGATGGCACTACAGGAACTATTTGAGTTGACATAAACTCAATAATGTCCAAATATGATTGGAATTTAAGCATGTGCAGCACTGTTTTCTGTTGTATTCTTTTATTATTAATATGCATTTAGGTATGCATGCTCTATGGTGTCTGTCAGGTGGTGCTGCAGCACCCTCTGCACCCCAGTTTTTCACAGTTTTGATTACGATGCATTTAGAATGCAACAAAAGARTTTTTTTTCTGGTCTCCTACAAAAATGTTAATATGTCATTGATTGGTTTTACAGTTGTTCTTAGTCATATAGAGTTTTATTTTTCAGTAACATGCTCTTAGCAAGTTTCTTTAACAAGATGATAATCTTTGGTGAACAACTCTGAAAGCAAACTTCAGTGGAAGAGGATGAAGCAGTTCTCTATTTGGCTTTTTTATTTTAATCAAATAAACATCCCAAATCATCATGCACAAAGAACATCACCTGGCTGGATTTATTTTTTAATTAGGTCATCAGCCTCACGTTGCCTTATCGATGATCTCAATGTTTCAGAAGCTGAAGTAGCAGAGTTATAAATGAAGTGACGCAGCACAAACTTTAAGAATTCAGTAATGAAGTTCCTATCAAGCGTCGTATCAAGAGAATATGTGTTTTTTAATCTTTTAATTTGCCGTTTTTCGTCTTTTCTCTCCTATTTTATCTACATTGTCTAAGTAGAAATATCTTAAGAACATGTGCTTTTCTTTCATTGTTTAAACTTTTTTTTTACACCTTGCAAGTCATAGTTTGCATTTTAACTCAAACTTTATGGCTCTTTTTTCCACAGCTGTAACACACACACTGATCACAGAGAATGTGACATCATTTGTATGTGTTTGTGTGAGTTGAATGTGAGTGTGTGTAAAAGTGTGTGCAAGACAAAGAAATTGAAGAAAGAGATGACAACATAGAGGAYAAGAAAGAGCTTGAAGAGATAGTTCAGGCATTTTGAAATGGGCATCTGTGACAGGATTAGGAATAACTATCTTACCTGTTGTAGATAACTCTTTACGCGACCTCAGTTTGGAGAAATGGGGTTCAGCAATGCCTTTAGCTCATCAATACGGTCAGATTTAAACTTTATTTCTCTGAAAAATGTTGTTTGAAAAGCTGTCTAAAACAGGTAAGATATTAACTGTTCATAACCTTTCTACAGAACCCCATCTGAATCATCGCTTTAATAAACTACTTGACACTAAGTTTGTTTGAGGATGGAGATGGAATCACCAGGAGCTTTGAGTCAGACATAGGACTAACGATGCCTTCAATCAGATTCTTGTTGCAGTCGCCTACGCTGCTCTCGGAGGAGAGTTTCTGGTACGTGACACTTCCTGTCAGGTCCATCAGGTCTTCAAGAGCACGGGTGTTGCTCGTGACGGCCAGCTGGACTTCACTGACGGGTGAGTACTCCGGGATTGAAATTAGTTCCTCTTTTGAAGCTGGACTGAAATTCAATGTTTTAAAAAGAAAGTTATGTTTTATTTTATTTTATTTTAACCTGATGACATATATATTATATGTGACCCATCACATCAAAATGAGAAAATTTGGTCAAAATGACCTAATCATATTTTCAGATTCCTGGCTTTAAAAGCTACATTTTGATACTTAGACCATCCTAACATCAATAATAGATCCAGAGATATTATTTAATTTGTGTTGTTGATTACAATAAWATATAAATATTTGCTCTATATCCTAATTTTATGTAATTTTAATGAGAATATTATATGTCATTTTGAAAAATAAACCTCAAATATTATTTGGATATTGAGATTTCCCAGTTGGAAAGAAACAAAAGCTTTGATATCTTACAGGGAAAATCCTAACATTTTAAGGCGTTTTTCCTCAAAATCAGGTTTTTGTTGCTAATGCTCAAAAAACTGCTTCAAAAAACATTTTTAGGATAATAGTTCAAACAGTTTATTGAAATAATACATTGATAACACATTTATGTGTGTTTTAATCAAAACACTATATCTGCCTATTTCTCCACATACAACTTTTAGACTTAATCCTCATTTCGATGTGATGGGTCACATATACAGCGGGTGAAATAAGTATTGAACACGTCACCATTTTTCTCAGTAAATATATTACTAGAGGTGCTAATGACATGAAATTTTTACCAGATGTCGGTAACAACCCAAGTGATCCATACATACAAAGAAATCAAACCATAAATGTCCAGAAATTAAGTTAGTTGTAATAATGTGGAATGGCACAGGGAAAAAGTATTGAACACACGAAGAAAGGGAGGTGTAAAAAGGCATGGAAAGCCAAGACACCAGCTGAACTCTCTCAGTAATTAGAAAGCAAGCCTGCCCCTTGTCAGTGCAAGTTAATATCAGCTGGTTCAGTCCCAAATGATGGCCAGGTATCACACAAGAACCATCTGATGATGGGTAAAAGTAAAGAGCTCTCTCAAGACCTTCACAACCTTATTGTTGCAAAGCATAATGATGGCATCYGTTACAGAAGAATGTCTAAACTTCTGAAGGTTCCAGTGAGCACTGTTGGGGCCATAATTCAGAAGTGGAAAGAACATTATTTCACCATAAACCGACCACGACCAGGTGCTCTTCACAAGATTTCTGACAGAGGAGTGAAAATAATTATCAGAAGAGTTGTCCAAGAGCCAAGGACCACTTGTGGAGAGCTTCAGAAAGACCTGGAATTAGCAGGTACGATTGTTTCAAAGAAAACAATAAGTAATGCACTSAACCACCATGGCCTGTATGCACGCTCACCACGCAAGACTCCACTGCTGAAGAAACAGCATGTTGAAGCTCCTTTAAAGTTTGCTGCACAACATTTAGACAAGCCTGTGTAATACTGGGAGAATATAGTCTGGTCAGATGAGACCAACATTGAACTGTTTGGATGCCAGAATACACATCATGTTTGGAGGTCAAATGGCACTGCACATCAGCCCAAAAACACCATACCAACAGTGAKGTTTGGAGGTGGGAACATCATGGTGTGGGGCTGTTTTTCAGCATATGGTACTGGCAAACTTCAAATAATTGAAGGAAGGATGAGTGGAAAAATGTACAGAGACATTCTTGATAAAAATCTGCTTCCATCTACCAGGATGATGAAGATGAAACYTGGCTGGACATTTCAGCAAGACGATGAGCCCAAACACAAAGCCAAGGAAACTCTCAGTTGGTTTCAGAGAAAGAAACTAAAGCTGCTGGAATGGCCCAGCCAATCACCTGACCTGAATCCAACAGAAAATCTATGGAAAGAACTAAAGATCAGAGTTCATAGAAGAGGTCCATGAAACCTTCAAGATTTGAAGACTGTTTGTGGAAGAATGGGCCAAAATCACACCTGAGCAATGCATGCAACTAGTTTCTCCATACAGGAGGCGTCTTGAAGCTGTCATTGACAACAAAGGCTTTTGTACAAAGTATTAGATAAATTTCAGTAAGTGTGTTCAATACTTTTTCCCTGTGCCATTCCACATTATTACAAATAACTTCATTTCTGGACATTTATGGTTGGATTTCTTTGTATGTATGGATCACTTGGGTTGTTACCGACATTTGGTGAAAATTTCATATCATTAGCACCTCTAGTAATATATTTACTGAGAAAAATGGTGATGTGTTCAATACTTATTTTACCCGCTGTATATTTATTTGTAATATAAGCTCTGATAACTCACCTAACGTCCATCGACTGCACCTCATCAATGGACCCTGAGCGCTTCACGTCTAGCGGCTCCAGCTTGATGACCGGTGGTGACAGGTGTCTGACCGGAAGGATAGTCACAGATGGTCTCAGATCCTGGGAGCCCCCGTTAGCCTTTGGGTCGGGTGATGTCAGCACGTGCAGTGTTTGCAGCTTAGTTTGATGACTGCACACTGAGCCTTTCCCATGATGCTTCACTGCTCCATTCATCACACTGTCTTCTCTGTGGTTTGCGTTGGCGTCTCCCATCGGCTTGATCATGCCTGTGCTTACCAGAGCTGTGACTTTAGTATTTGCTTTGTGGTGTTTGTTCAGGTTATGTTCCGGTTCYCCTTCATTTGGTTTGAAACCACAGAGGTTAGCCTCTTTACTGAGCTGGCTGCCTTGATCTTCTTTACTGATTTGTCTTTTTTCCTGTCTATCGTCCTCCTTCTGTGCTTCTTTCTTCAGATGAGCCTCTTCTTTCGTTTTGACCTGCACTGTGACCTGCTCTTTCACCTGAAACTCTGCCTGTTTGCTTGGCTGCTGGGTGACGTGAGCGTTAGCATTTACAGCCCCTGTGAAGGACAGAACACATTATAGCACTTCATTTGGACTGTCCAGGGTCGCATCACAGTCAGTTTCTTTGAGCTTGAATAGAAGACAGTCGTCCAAATGTGTAGAAAAGTTAAGATTCAAGCCAGCAGCATCAGCAAATAAGAAGGCCTTTTTTCAGATCTCAGCACTGGACAGCTCAATGTGAAGTCATCCTTTGAGGAAAAGTCCCTCTGAAAGAGCTAAAGAAATGTTCCAAGGGCATTTTCAAGAGCAGCCTATCAGCGCCTGCGGTGGTGTACTGCAGTGGAAAAACAGCAGGAGCAAGAAAGTCTTTCACTGCTGCTCCTCCACCTTTTTGCACTGTGCGCACAGTTATTAGGCAAGTGGCTTATTCTGACACCATGTGTCTTTATTACTACGCACAACACTGGAATCAAATACAAGCAAACCTGAATGCTAATTGGGGTTTGCATAGGTTTAAAGTAACAAAGTAAAAATACTTCATTATTTTATACTTTATGGAGTCAGTATTTTTTTTTTTAATTTTTACTTTATCTTTTTATATTTTTAAAATAACCTCGTTACTCTGATTTCATTTTTGCTTGTTTTCATTCTGGCTTGTCATTGTGAAAAACAAACAAAAAAAACTATTCAGGTATACTGTTTGTCATACAGCAAAATATTAGGGCTATACTTAGATTATTTTTTTTTTCTTTATTATAAAATTAAAGTCAGAATGTTACAAAAAATACATATAAATTACGAGAAAAAAGTTGTATGACAATAACGTAATAATATTACAAGAAAAAAATCATAATATTAACAAAAGAAAGTCATATGAGAATAAAGTTATAATATTATGAGAACTCCTACATTAAAAAAGCAGTCTAACAACTGCGTTTTGAGCCTCTTATGAAGTCATACTTCGGTATTGCTTTTACAACTAAGGAAATACTTAAATAGTTTAAACATATCAGCATAAATGATTGGCAGGACTTTTGAAACAACTGTGTCTATTTTGAAGATTTTATTCTCGTATTATTTTGACTTTATTCTTGTAATAGAAAAGTCTGGCGTTAACACTCTGTTGTATGGAGCCTTCCTAATAAAGTGAATTAATTTGAGTGAGTATTAATTTGTATCACACCAGCACATGACACAAATCACAACAAACTTCATGGTTAGACGTACTGAAAGGTAACTCAACTTGTCAGTGAACAATAAATGTTATTCTTTAGTCATTTTGTCAACTAAAAACAGAATAAAAAAGATTTTTGTGATAATAATTCACCACACTATTTATATTGCCTGATAACTGTGCACAATAAAAAAATATATGTACATGCAAGGTAAAAATCTCCATAATGTCCCCAAAATTTTATTTTTGCTTTTGAATCCTTGATGTTCATTCTTCTGAATAAACCAAAGCCTCAGATGCTGTTACTGTGAGAGGTTTAAAAACAAGCCAGCTCTTAAAAAATAAAAATAAAAAAATCCAGATCGCTGTTGCGCATGCTGAAGACTTCCTTGACACAAAAATTGGAATAGAAATCACACATGCCCTGTTTGCGTTTTTACAGCAGCAAGGCACGCAGCAAAAAAAAGGCGGAGCAAAAGAAGGCATGGCCAGCAAGCAAACTGAGAGCGTCTCCAGGCTGATTGGACGCACACTGACCTGGCGGCGGCGGCGAGACGGCTTTTGTCTCCACCTGCTCCTCCTCCTCCTCCTTCTGATTCAACGCGCAACCCGAGACAATCAGGACACAAACAAACCAAAGTGTCACCAATAAAAGCGTTTAATTAAAAACAAGGGACGGTCAAAGTTTTTGGTTAGAGAAAACGGGATGAAAATTTAAAAAAAAAAAAAGGAAAACTCTTCAAACAATCAGCAGGCATTAAAGGCAGCAGGTTGAGAACAGAAGGTTTCTCTCACAGTACCTTCACGTCAGCTTCACTTTTCCGGGTTCTCTTCATGATCTCTTCGATCCTCTGCAGAAAAAAAAAGTCACACGCGATCAAACTGTGAACGGTTTCAGATGCAGACATATGAACAAGGCTGTCATCAAGACGTTTTGTTCATTCTGATAAATGTGAACCTTCTTCCTGAGCTGCCTCTCCTCCTCTTCATGCTGCGTCTGCAGTTCCCTGTCCTGCCGGTGACGTTCTGCATCTTCCTGAGCCTGAACCACTTTGACTTTCTGTTTACAAGAGAGTGTGCGTTTGGGATGGAGGGATTGTTATAATCAGCATAATATGTGCAAAAGACAAGTTCATAAACAAAGGTCAAATGAAATATTTACCTCATCAAATTGACCCCTGACACGTGCATCTACATGTAGATCCTTCTTCTGCTGTTCCTCTTTTCTTTTGTCCTCCTCTTGTTTCGGCCTGTGCGCGTCGTTCAAATGGTTCCCTCTCACCTCGGCTGGCTGAGCCTTCACCTCCTGCTGTCTCTTCCTCCTTTGTTCCTCCTCCTCTRTTAATCTGATCAGAATGTTCACATTTATTTATTATAAGCTTTTAAAAACAGATGTTTCCGTGGGGGGTAGTTGAAAGAAAAAAAATTAGAGGGAATAAAAATGAGGGAAAAAAAACTACAGGTCATGGAGTTATAGAACAGCAGGAGTGCATCTTGACTACGCGAAGCATTGTTGTGAAGACGTGCTGAAGTGGGACTGTCAGAAATGGTAGGATGTTCTTAAAGGTGTTTAGATAAGATGCAAAATCAAATTTATTTGCATTTTCATAAGAACTGAATGCAACATAGTTACTTGATTGTGGTATATAACTGAACTATGTACCTGAAAAATACATTATACCCTCCTTTTAAATAGCTGCTTTGTTGGGTGTGAGCCGTCGGCCATCTTGGCTGCCAGTTTTGCTCCTCCATGTTTTTTTTCATGTTGTCACAGATGCTAACATTGYATATGTGGGGCTCAGTCATATTTAACTCTATGCAACAGGTTAGGGCTTTGGTCTGAWCTGCTTTGACAAGGATTTGAACTTTTCAAGCTCTAAGCTCAATTAACTAACCTTTCTTCCGCCTCCTTCTCTCGTTTTTTCTCCTCCTGTTCTTTCAGGGCTCGAGCCAGACGCCTGCGCTCTGCCAGCAGCCTTGTAGCCTCTTCTGCATCTGTGGTTCCAGCTCCCACTTTCCCCATGGATGGGATTGTTGCCATCTCTATCCAACATAAAAAGATCATGTCAAGAAAAAAAAAAAGACAAACTGGGCCTAAAATACATGTTAGATAAAATGRGCTCGAGTTCACCTTTGCTCTTGTCTCCACTCTGTAATTTTTTCTCTGAAGAATCTGTCCTGGAGGATGTTTTRTTCTCAACATGCGAAGTTGAACTTAAGCCGCCAACGTCAGTTTTGGGTTTCTCAGGTTTCGATTGTCCAGARTTTTTGTCTGACTTTTTGTCTTCCGAATTTGTAGCCCCGCTCGGTGTGTTTGGACGATGTCGTGTTGGAGAACAGTGGTAACTGCTGGGAGACTGGGCACGCACCTTAGACGCTAACCTGCACAAATACAAACGTATTTGTTAGGAAAAACGTYTTTAACATGTCTGTTTATATTTTAATGACAAATTGTCTTACTTGGAAGGAGAAGGAGAAGCCAGGTGCCTGGTGACACTAGCAGGGGATTCAGATCTTCTCAGAGGAGATCCATAACCTGGGGATGCAGTTCTTCTGTCTCTGCGGATTCGCTCTTTCTGTAAAAGGGGCCAGATTGGTTTGTTGTTTTATTGTTACTGACGTGGAATTTTGTGGATATAAAAATGCAATAAGAAGAAGATCAGACCTTGGGGGTACTGGGAGTAGACCGAGAGCCTCCCTGAAGTCCGGCTCTGTTAAGGTTTGCAGGATTAGGATAAGGTAATCTGTGAGGACTGCAGGGGGCTGCATGATAACAAATTGGAGCAAATGAGCTAAAGGCAAATTCCAGCTGACAAGAACTTTAATACAGCAGAGAAAGGCTTGTGTGCTGCATTCAGCTGCGGGTTACACAACTGAATTTGCAGCTACAATTGGCAGAGACATAATCCTGCAATACAAAACAACATGAGAATGTGCATTTTAAATTAATGTTACATTTAGAATTTGAACTTTTAAAAATATTAGGAATTTATTAAGGGTGGTCACATGTAACTTGGTCAACATACTGTATATTGAT